GCTTCACATAAACATTGTCATGTCATCATCATGCACTCTGACTTTTACTGTTTTGCTTCGACCACATGCACAGATCTCTCTCCCTCCGTCTCTCTTCAAGAACAGTTTCCTGTCTAAAAATCTGTTTTTTGCATTATTGGCATGCTTGCTACGCACAAGTCTACCGTTGTTTACAGCGCTGTGGGCCGGCGTTTTTTTTTCTTCTTGTTTTATATACTTCCGAAAAGAAAACCTAATTTCTGCTGTTCAATACTGAACAAATGTAAACTTTTTAAAATTATGCAAAATGCAAAACGCTCAGCCGTGTCTCTAATAAAACCGCTGTAACTCCAGAGGCAATGTTCATGTGTTGATGATTAATGGTTTTCTTTCGTTTTTGATGTGCTGCAGAACATTTTTATAAAATCCCAGGCCAGGAAATTCGCCTTCATGTTTTTCTGTGTTTTATCTTCAGCTACTTTGACACAAAGGCATCTGCTGTGATGCTCACATAAAGTCTTGCGAGTGTCAGCTTCCTTTTTATAGATACAAAAATATGTAAATGTACTGATCTGAATTATAATATTTCTGACTGTCAAAATTTCCCAGATTCAAATCGAATCGAATCGAATTAAATCGAATCGTGGATCGAATCGATTCGGGACCTTGTGAATCGGAATTGAATCGATTCTAGAAATCAGTGAGCCCTACTGTGGAGGCCCACAGTGGCTGCAGCCTGTCTGCTCGTCGCCAGCTCTCTTTGCCGCATCAGTCACATGACTACCATGTCATGTGATTCCAATTAAAGTGGGGCAGGCGTGGCCAGCGCCCCCTTGGCTCTCATCATTGTCCTTGAATGACTCTAATAGGGCGTGTCAAAGATCGTACTGTAGGTGAGGGACTTGTACTTGACCGTTCTGATCTGTGTTCAGTGTGACACAGAGATGTTAACCCTGCTGCTCAAAGTCGTCTTCATTGTCTCTCCTTATTTGTGTGCAGATCTCCAGCCTGTTTTAGGAAGTTCCTTTACGTTTCGACAAAACTGTAAGACCGACGAAGAAGGAAAACTGCTCCGGGCTGAGCCCCATGGGGAGGTGGAGGTGGCTGTTCACCAGCGCGGTGTGTGGACACCTGCCCGGGGCTACCGAGGCCGGATCTTTCGAAACTCGTCCATTTTGTTCAGGCGCATATTTTACAATGACAGTGGCTTTTATTTATTAAGATGCGACAGCCAGGAGATGCGCATCCAGGTTAAAGTTCTGGTTCCCTTTAATGTCACCGTGAAAGAGGGAGAAAAAGCGACACTGCCGTGCCGTATTCCGTCAACTACCGACAACAAGTGTCTCTCTGTACGATGGGAAATAAAAAAGCAGGTTGTGTTTGGGTGGAATTCCTGCACAGACAAAGGTAACGGGACTGCTGATGGATCCTTAAACCTGCCACACGTGAGGAAGGAACATCAAGGATATTATTTCTGTCATAAACAAAATGAAGACGGAGAGAAATATGGGGATCCATCTGTCGTGAGGCTGAAGGTCAAGGGGAAAGACCGGGATGGCACATCAGCGGTAAGTAAGCTATCCTCTTTTTTTATAGCCGGGTTCAACATTAGATCAGTATGACAGAGTATTAGGACCACATCAAAAAATAAATGAAAAATCTGTTTCTTTCGCGATTAAACTCGAAATCATTCCCTAATTTAGACTTTATTCTCCGAATCAACAGTATGTTTTTCTTAATACAGCCCTGATACTCCCTCGTATCCCGCTGTATGTCTGAGCTAAGATCATTTTTAAAATTTACTTTAGGGTGACCAACCGTCCTCTTTTCCCTTGGGGGATTTTCGATATTGATAAAAAATGTTCTGTATTCCGACAGAGGACCCATGTGTGTTTCATGTCATCCCCGATCTGCTGCGATCACAGACGGGACAGACAGCGCGCAGCAACGCGCCTAAAGATCCCAAAGCGCAAGTGCATCTTTCAGACGAACTGCAAAAGAAATTGCCCTCGTACCGACACACTACTGGTAATAATTCTTATGCAGATGAGGCATTATTTCTGTACCATTATTTAATTCCAGAGGCTTTTAAGTTATTTTTTTTTGCACTTGTTGACTTGTAAAAGCCTGTATGACATATTTTATTTCACAATTCATTAACCGCACGGAGAAGGCATCGTTTAAATATGTTTCTTTAAGCAAGTTCTTCAAAAACTGGTTATCCGCGTGGGGTTACCAGATAATCAGGATCCTGTTTATCTGATCCTGTTTATTCCTGTTCTCTGCCCCCGACACAGAAAATCCGGCAGGAGAATCGACGAAAAACGCGAGCAGCCACGAGCAGAGGAGGAACTGCGAGCCTGGAAAATTGATCTTTCCAGTCAGTGCAGTGGATGAGATTTGGATTCCGGGTCTTGAGATCCTGCGCTCACCAGCGGCTGTCACCGGTTTAATATGTTTCTGGTAGCTGCATATTTTCAGCGTCTAAAAAATATCTCTGAATGTGTTTGAGGATGCAGGAAATTCATATTAATATAAATTTTATTCCGTTCATTTAATCTTGAAGTTTGCATTTCTGAAAAATTCCGTCAATCCCGTTATTTATTTAACATTTTATCCAACTGGCATTTGTATTTATACAGACTATGTCAGTATCAGTGAATGTCTATTCAATGAATGTCTGAGTAAATAATTAAAAATAAATATTCTTTACTCGACATGCAGTCCTTCTGTTAACACTTGTATTTAGTCCCGCAGTGCTCTGTCATGTCAATTCAACGCGAAAAACGAAATCACATCAACATTTAAACGTTTTTAAATCACGAAAATTATTCGATTTTTTTTCCTGGGACACACTTGAGTTAATATTATTTTCCAAAGTCTAAGATTATGGTGAGTACTAATATCGCCGAATTAATGTTTTAGGTACAAGTTGTTATGTTTGTGTTGCGGATGATTTTAGGTTACATTAGAAGATGAATATAAAAATTAATTTAGACTTAATTTTTTTCCAGATGCAGAATCAGTGCAGCTTCTTGTTTGAGGCCTGCGTGTGGCCCACGGGAGAAAGCTTGGCCTCCTTTCCTCTCTGCAGGAAATCCAATCACTGCTGCAGCTCGAAATTAGTTCATGTAATACAGAATTCTACCCTTACGCATATATACTGTACTTCAAGGGAGTAGATTTGGTTTTGGCATTGGTGGGGGCGGATTATTCAACCACCGAACCCTGCCCAGTTTCTCTC